TTATTTTCCCTTTCCCAGGGCATGGGTCTGTCCCTTTGCCCCGCTAGTCATGGAACTGGGCCGAACTAGCCTGTAAAGCATTGACATGGGGTAATTTGGTTGCTGTCAAAATGTTATGTCTAACCTTGAATTTCAGCCTTTTTTAGAGGTCAAGTAGTAATGGTGACAATGTCTTCTTCACCTTCGCCTTCTCTTCTAGTACTCCTTGGCATTGGTGACTGTGATCTTGTTTAGGGCTCATCCCCTGGAGATAGGGGCCACTCCCCTGGACCTTCCTCCTTTACTCTCTCCTCTTTTATAATATCTTCTTCCTCCTCTTTCTTCCATTCTAAATGAGGTGACATTCATTTCTATTTCTGTCCTCTTAAAGGGGCAAATGACATCAATTCTGGTGCCTTCTGTGATTGATCATTGTAGAGCAAACAAAGGCAGTGACAGAGCCTTTATGTGAGAAATAGGTACTATAGGAAAAGATATCCAAGAGGAATTAACTCACCCCTCCCAGTAACAGTTTGGAGAGAGGGACAAGCTGAGGATTATGACCCTTCCCCCATTTGTACTGTCACGCTGCAGCAGAGAAGGGCAGGGGAAAAAGGGGGGACCTGCGCAGACTCAAATTACATGCAAAGTATTGCGGAGGCAGAAGGGGTGGCTTTAGACAAACCCCACTCCCCCGCCCACCGCAGGTACTCATGTAGCTCACCCATTGGTTCAGGCTGTGACCTTGTAATTCCAATACAATCAGGTTGGACAGTTTCAATGCTCTTTCTCTCCAGCTTGGCTCAGCGTCTGTCTTGTTTGGTTAGGAGGAGGTCTCGTTCAGCTTGAAGGATGTCTTGTTGAGATTGAAGGCTGTCTCTTTCTGATTGGAGACTTTCTAGTTTGGACTGTAGGGAGTCTTGTTTGGTTTGGAAGGTGTCTTGTTGAGATTGAAGGGAGTCTCACTCAATTTTGAAGGTGTCTCTCACGGTTTGTAGGGTATCTCCCTCGGATTGCAAAGTGTCTTGTTCATTTTGGACGGTGCCTCATTCAGATTAGAGGTCTTTTCTCTCAGATTGGAGATTCTCACTTTCGGATTGGAGGCTTTCCTTCTCAGCTTGGAGACACTTGCTCAGTCTGGAGATTCTTTTCTCGACCTGGAGACTCTCCCTTTTGGCTCAAGGATCTTCCTTTCAGTTTTGGAGACACTCTCCCTCTAAGGGATAGTACTGAATAAGGCCTGATAAGCATAAGCCAGGCCCCAAATAATTTGTGC